TTTAAAACATGAGTTAAATCTAATAAAATGGTCATGAAACATTTTTCAGTTTTTACTATGGTGCCATACAGCCCACCTTCACCCTCACGGTCTCACCCTTCATCGACCCTGACACCCCCCCCTTGTAAATTCAAACACCCCCCCCTAATTTCAATTCCTGGGGAGGCTACTGGACTCCAGCTGACTCCCAGAGGCAGGGGGTGTGGATCTAAAGAGATGGCAGTGGTTCGGTGGGAGAGAGAGGGTCTAGGGCAGGGGTTCCCAACGTTGGGTATGCGTACCCCCAGGGGGTATGAGAAGCTTGTCAAGGGGGTACGGGGAATATTTGGTAAATAACTAGATTATCCTAATCGAAATATTCCAAAAGTAGTCGTGTTCGTGAAAAAAGTTGTGGATTCTAGAGTCTAGAATGTATTTCCTTTCATACTGAATAGGGGGTACGGGAAGGTTTACTAAAAACCAAGGGATGTGTCTAGACTGGCAAGCTTTTCCGGAAAATCAGCCGTTTTTCTGGAAAAACTTGCCAGCTGTCTACACTGGCCGCTTGAATTTCCGTAAACGTACTAACGATCTCATGTAAGATTGTCAGTGTTCTTGTGGAAATACTGTGCTGCTCCCATTCGGGCAAAAGTCCTTTTGCGCAAAACTTTTGCGCGAAAGGGCCAGTGTAGACAGCTCAGCTTTGTTTTGCGCAAAAAAGCCCTGATCACGAAAATGACGATCGGGGCTTTTTTGCGGAAAAGCGCGTCTAGATTGGCACAGATGCTTTTCCACAAAAAGTGCTTTTGCGGAAAAGCGTCCGTGGCAATCTAGACGCGCTTTTCCGAAAATGCTTTTAACGGAAAAGTTTTCCGTTAAAAGCATTTGCGGAAAATCATGCCAGTGTAGACATAGCCAAGGGGTATGGGGACCAAAAAAGGTTGGGAATCCCTGGTCTAGGGTGTGGGCTGGGCAGTTTCGATTGAGGAAGAAATTCTAGGAGCATCCCAGCCGGAGTTGACGCTTGTACTGAAAACCAAAGCCCAGGCAGGGGGTGAGTCTGGACTCTGAGAGCAAAACCGTCTCAAAGGTACCTTGGGGTCGCCTGTGGTGTTTAGTGTCTGTGTTATTTCAGGGTGGATGGTAGGGTGCTAGGCCGCCGGTGGGGCAAACCCATGCCCAGAACGTCTGCGGGATGGTAGAGGGTGCGTGCTATGAACAGAGGCAGCCACCCGCAGACAGCCCCGCCTATGGCACCAGCGCGCAGCAGGCGTAAGGGAACGGGAGAGATGCCTCCCCCCAGACCACAGATCCGTGCGCAGGGGCCCCTGGTGCAGGGCGGGAACCACGCCAGTGCAAAGGCAGCCACAGTGCCCTGCGCACCCAGATGTGCACCCAGGCTAACGCACGCCAGCCGTGTACACACAGCCCATGCTGCCATGCACCCGCCGTGGGCACGCCCCCACGTGGGCACCCAGCCGTGCACCCGCAGGACACGCCGGGCACAGATCCATCTACACTGGCAGAGAGTGAACAGTGACAGGCAGCCTCCCCCTTCTCGGCCCCCCCTCCCGGCTCTGACATCCTGAGTGTGTCTGCAGTAACACAATGAGCCCCTGAGGAGCGGTGAGTGGAATCGCTGAAGGAAACCGCTGCCTCTGCTTCCTCTCGCCAGCCCAGCCCTGCGCTCTGCACCCTGCCCAGGGCGGCTGGAGCCATGGGCCTGGCGGCGGAGCGGGAGGAGGAGGCCAGCAGCCCCAGAGGGACCCCGAGGTAATGAGAACCGCAGCTGGAGGGAGGGCGGCGGGGCCCTCGGGGACCCGGGTCAGAGACAGCCAACGCTTGGGCTCACTGGCTCCCCAGCTGGGGGGTCTCAGCCATTGTCCCTGGCCGGGATCCGGCCCTTGCAGAGGGGATGGGGGGAGATCCCTTTCCCCCGGGGGTGCGCGGCTCCCCTGCCCGCGGGG